CTGAGTTCCTAGTGGGCAATCACCACAGCTCTGAATGCTTTGGAGTTACAGTGACGGCGAGTCACTTACTCCTCCAGCCGTCGTAACTCTCTCTCCACTTCTCCAAGACTATTAGCACACAGTCCTCGGCGCCCTTACACCGCTGGATTAGGCTTCCTCGCACTTCCCTCAAGTACTGCAGTCCTTATCACTCACTATATACTCGTCAGGCTGTGTATATCCACTTAAGGAGGCTCCTAGACCTCGGAACTCGAGAGCTCAATCGGCGCACGTCCGCTCTCAACGAAGCGCCAAGTATCTCTGAGCGCCTGGCGCTCTGCAGGCGGTGGGCAAGGTCTCCCGGTGACGTCACACACCCAGGGGCGGGTTCTGATTGGTCAATGAAGTCATGTGACCTCAGCCAGCCAATCACCGACCGGCGAGGCACCGTACACAAAATGGTGGATTTACAGGCAAGAGGGCGCCATTTTGTTGTACCCAGGGCGCGACTTATATATATATATATATATATATATATATATATATATATATATATATATATATATATATATATATATATATATATATATATATATATATATTTTGGTAGCAGTCTTTCTTGTAAACATATGTTGTTAAATATGACCGAAAAAGTAAGATTAATAATTCTAACACGAATTTTCTCAATATTTCTTATGTTTCTTTTTACTGTCGATGGTAATTGAAAAATCAATTCTCCAAAATTCATTTTTATTTCTAGTCTGACGCGACGCTTGAACGCGTTTCGTAATAACTTATTACATTTTCAAAGACTTTAGTTTACACACACACAACTGTAACCTGAAAACACTAAACAGAGTTTTACTTAATGCTAACATTGAACAGCTTGTCTTATATACTCGCATTTGGGTGAGGTGATATGTTGCAACAGTTTTGGATGAGGTGAACAAACTTTTGACCAACACAAGACAGAACACGGTGCAATGGGTATAAATTGGATAAATGAGAGGGAAGAATGGAAGTAACTGCAAAGGGCCTATTGGCCTATACTTCCTCTTGATGCTTCTATATTGGTGCGGAGTCTTGAAGTGGGTGGAATATAGTTGTGCATTAATTGGCTGTTGATTGTTGGTGATATATATATATATATATATATATATATATATATATATATATATATATATATATATATATATATATATATATATATATATAATATAGTGTGTGTGTGTGTTTGTGTATATGTGTGTGAGTGTGTGTGTGTGTGGTTGTGGTGTGTGTGTGTGTGTGAGTGTGTGTGTGTGTGTGCTTAACTTCTTAGTCACATATGGTGGTGTTCTCCGTGACTCTGAGATCCATGACTCTGGAGCACAAGAACAGGTAAATACATTTGTTCACCCTTAGATTAAGTTCCCATATGGAGAACGCTTCTCCCTTAGGAATATTAGCGGCTGTAAATTGTGCCCGTGTTTGCTGTGTGTGTTTGTATTCTTGCACAGCCGCCCACAGGGTGTGTCAGGAGCTGTAGCTATGTAACGCTACAAATGTCTCTCTCACATGGTGGTGGCCGCTCCCAGCATGAAGGCTCCCAACTATGGAACAATGCCAAAGCCAGCATGTGAGGGGGTGCGACACAGACGAGGGCTGAGTCCTCATTATACAAACATTATCCCACTTATGAATCAAGTAAACAATGCTACTGAAGGCTGACATAGATCACTAAACTATAATGTCGGGTAATTCTCACCAAGTGGGAAACTCATCAAAAAATAACAGGCAGGTAAAAACATAACATGAAATGCTTAACAGTTTATGGAAAACTTCGGCGATGATTAAGACACAAGATATTATAATATAAGGAACATATATGATAACATTTTGGGATTATAATTATACACAATTATTAACTTTAAAACATTTAATTATATAACTGTTCCGGTTGGACTCGGGAATTTCCTCCCTCCATTATTTTATGTAAATATTAATCCTTCACACTCTTAATTGACGGATAATTCCTTATAAATCGGATTTGATTTGGCTTGATATTACTGTTGGAAATTGTATTGAATTGCTCAATTTATATTAAAATATTGTGTAGTGAGGTAAAAACCTTTTCTTTAGTGCAAATATGTTCACCCACAGTACTGTGGGTGTTCACTCACAGTACTGTGGGTGAACACTCACAGTACTGTGGGTGTACACTCACAGTACTGTGGGTGTTCACCCTCAGTACTGTGGGTGTTCACCCTCAGTACTCTAGGTGGTTCAATTTGTGGCTCAATATTTAGAAATTCTCCTTCTTTATCTTCTAATGTAATATATTACTTTGTTAACGGGTGCGAAAAAAAACAAAAACTTTCAAAGGTTGCGTGACATAAAAAAGTTTCGGAATCATGGTTTTCAAATTATTATTACTAACACCTCTAAGAACATGTGCATTGATGCAGCTCAACTGTATGACGGGGAGTGTAGCGTGTGTCAACAACTGGCTACCTCCTGGTAGACGTCCTCATCACACAGGGACATGCGACCAGTTGCCCAAACTGGCAAACTGTGGGTGTTTTATGAGGATATTCCCAAGGGCACACCAGCTCCTGCTCTCAGAGTTGGCACCTGGAGTGTTCAGGAGACGCGTCACCTGTCCCGGCGCCCACACACACACACACACACACGAACCTACGGCGAAGACGCGCCATGTTTCATTACTGCTGGGCGTGTTCTGGGCCCCTGCTCTCTCTGTAGCCCACACCACCACTGTAGTCTACACCACCACTACCACCACTGTAGTCTACACCACCACCACCACTGTAGTCTACACCACCACCACCACTGTAGTCTACACCACCACCACCACTGTAGTCTACACCACCACCACCACTGTAGTCTACACCACCACCACCACTGTAGTCTACACCACTACCACAACTGTAGTCTACACCACCACCACCACTGTAGTCTACACCACCACCACTGTAGAAGAGCTCTTGCCAAACATGGAGTTGTGGGAGGAAGAGCACCATAGTGGCAACACCGTGTCACTCAACATGACAAGCGTATATTACCTTCCATCATGTGTCCCTGCCAGGCCTCCTCCTCTCTTATCTCTCTCTCTTTATATATATATATATATATATATATATATATATATATATATATATATATATATATATATATATATATATATATATATATTAATATATATACTTATATTATATATATACTTATTAAATCAATAAGATAAGATGGATGTTAAATTAACGTCTGTAATGTGTATTCAAAGTTATTCGAGCAACGTTTGTCCACTGCGAGAGAGAGAGAGAGAGAGAGAGAGAGAGAGAGAGAGAGAGAGAGAGAGAGAGAGAGAGAGAGAGAGAGAGAGAGAGAGAGAGAGAGAGAGAGAGAGAGAGAGAGAGAGAGAGAGAGAGAGAGAGAGAGAAAGAGAGAGAGAGAGAGAGAGAGAGAGAGAGAGAGAGAGAGAGAGAGAGAGAGAGAGAGAGAGAGAGAGAGAGAGAGAGAGAGAGAGAGAGAGAGAGAGAGAGAGGGAGAATGGAAAGGGAGGGTCTCTCAGGGTGGTGACTGTCATTTACAGCGAAGAAGAAAGTGTGTTGTGAAAATGGGTGTAGTAATGAGGCGTGACGAGGAAGGGGGGTGATGGGAACTGTTTATGCTACAAGAGATGGGGAGGGTGTTTATGGGGGCAGAGGGAAGGGGTATGTGTGTGGGAGAAACTTGCATAGACACTGGCTGTCCTTTTTAGGGTTCAGAGATAACTTGTGCCCTAAAAGATCGCCGAGTGCTGTTGGGAATTAGGTTAAGGGTCTTAATTACGACTTCCAATTCTTTTTACAATCGTCAAACCCTATTAAAAACTTTCAACACAAGACAGAACACGAAAAAATGGGTATAATATTGGGTAAGTCCCAATATTATACCCCAGAACTATATGCAACTGAAAACTGTTGTGTTAGTTGTCTCTGAAGAGTCAACTAACACAACACCTGTACCCCCCTATTAGACTATTTTACAGGAACTTCTTTTCCACAGCTCATAAAACGGAGGAAAGGGTCCTGAAAGATATTGTTAATAGAAACGTTATCCCTACAGACAAAAATCAGAAGATACAATTGACGATCTACTATAAAACCAAAAAAACGGCCAACATACTCATGAGAAACTCTCCAGACACAAAGCAGAATGCTTTGAAAGAGACCAATGTCGTCTATGCCTTCAAATGCCCACTTGGGGACTGTAAACCTCAAAGAACTCAGACAACAACATCTCTTTCCAGGCGATTAACGATGCATAAGCAACAGGGCTCCATTAAGGAACATATAATCTCTTCCCACAACCAGACCATCACCAGACAAGTCTTAACAAAAAACACAGAAATCATCGATAGATACAGCGATAGCAGGCGGCTTGATATCTGCGAGGCACTACACATCAGAAAGTCAACACCAGCAATCAACAGCCAATTAATGCACAACTATATTCTACCCACTTCAAGACTCCGCTCCAATATAGAAGCATCAAGAAATATGGGCCAATAGGCCCTCTGCAGTTACTTCCATTCTTCCCTCTAACTTACCCAATATTATACCCATTGTTTCGTGTTCTGTCTTGTGTTGAAAGTATGTTTTCACCTCATCCAAAACTGTTGTAACATATCACCTCACCCAAATGCAGGTATATAAAATGAAAGCCGTTTAAAATTATAGCATAGTAGGACTCTGTTTAGTGTTTGCAGGTTATAGTTGTGTGTGTGTAAACTAAAGTCTTTGATATATAGTAATCACGGGTAATATATATATTACCCGTGAATGACACACAGCATTCACTCAATGAGAGGTGATGTGTCTTCGTGTTTACAATGTTATAATGTTCATACTGAAGAAATTCTAATTGAGCACAATTTAAATTATGGAAAAGTATAAACCGTTTAGAAATTACTAATTCAAAATATATATTATTATTGTCATTTCAGGTGTTGTGTACATGGCTAAGGGTGTTGTGTGTTGCAGGTAGAGTGGGTGGGGCGTGAAGGGTGTTCTGCGGTGGGCAGCGCCTGGTTCACACTGCACGTGGCTGCCATCTGGACACTCACCGCCCTCAACCTGGATAAGTACGTGGCCATCGCCTCCCCACTGCACTATGCACGCTTCGTGTCGCCGGGGCGTGTGGGCGTGACGGTGTTAGTGTCGTGGGTGTTGTCTGCGGGTCTGTGTACGTTGCCGCTGCTGCTGCCGGGTCTACACAGCAGCCCGCGCCCCCCTGGATGCTGTCTACCCGACGTGGTGTCTGCTGCGCCGCTCCTGGGCCGTAGCTACGCCCTGGCTCTCTCCCTCCTCGGGTACCTGCTGCCGGCGGTGATGGTAGCCTCCGCTAACGGTCGTATCCTGGTGATAGCGCGTCACCACCGTCACAGGATTGTGTCGGCGCTGTGGGACGTCACGGTGTCGGCTCAGGCCACAGTCACACCGCAGAGATCTCACTTTTATCTTACTCGTTACAGGGGGCGATCAGCGGCTACCACAGTGTTCCATTTCGTTGGAACCTTCATCATTATGTACATTCCGTCTGCCGTGTGTCTGCTGTATGAGGCTATGGCCAGGTCTTACGTCCCCGTCAACGTCTCCACCACCAACTTCGCTCTGCTTACATTTGCTCCCGCCATCAATGGCTTTGTATACGGGGTCAGGAGCAAAGTACTTCGTAAAAACTTTAAAAATTTCCTGAGAAAACGTCTGTACCGCAGCGAAGTGAACTACGAGATCCAGTCCCGCGCTCCGTCTGTGCCAGCGTCGCGGCGGCCCTCCATCACCCCTTCCCTCTCCCTCCCCCTCCAACAGAAACTCCAGCGCCGCATGTCAGAGATACTCATCCCGCCCTCCACCTCCGACGGCGCCGCCAAACTCGTCCGACGCTCTTCAGAGCTCTGTTTTCGGCCTCGAGGCTCGACGTGGTCCATTCCCCGGGACATCACTCCCTCCCGACTCTCCAGCGACTCTCCCGCACCGCTGGGCACTCAACTCGGCCAAAGTGACCAGCAAAGCGAGGAGTGCGGGCAGGCTGCGAGCGACCAGACCAGAGGGAGCAGCAGCCAGGAGAAGGTGAACCCTTCACCCCCTAGGAGTCCCCTCGGTCGCCACACTAAAGTACTTCGCTTACTCTCTCACTCCAACAGTCTGGAGGAGAATCCTGATCAGGAGAGTGACATCATTAACCTCGCTAATGCGTCAGCCATCTTGTCGAACCATCGTCCGTCGCTAAGAAGAGCGTTATTTGCCAGAAACAAGCAGAAGAGTCTAGACTTTGAGATGACATGTTTGTATATGGAGGAGAGTTCTGCAGAGTCCATGACCCGGCCTCCTCGCAGCGCCTCGCAGCAGATAGTGGGTGAGCTGGGCAGCCCATCGCTGGTGCGGCCGTTGATGCTGGGTCCCAGCTCACAGCCACCTCTCTCTCCTTGCAGGAAGACCAAGCGAGTCTCGTGGTCGTCCGACAGTTTCTCAGATTCCCCGATGGACTCTGACAACGACACCTCCGCCAACTCCGGCCCACCCAGATACCGGAAAAAGGCGATGTTCCGCAACAATGGGTTACGTTTTGACTTCTCGAAAGTCTCCCTGGAACGTATTGACTCAGAGGATGTCCGGCCATCACTGGAACACAGCGGATCTCTGGAATCATCGCCCCCAGACTCTCCCCAAATTACTGGCAACAGAGAATGTGAGGTACAAGTCCACACGCCTCACAGCCCTGTCGTGGCCAATGGGAAGTTTAGCAGTAAAAGCAACGGACACCGTGACATAGCGGGAGCTGGAGCGCTGCCCACATGAGACGGATAAAGATGACTACAAGAGACGGGTAAAGCTGCCCTGTGTGTACATACTGGTGGAGAGTCGAGGCAAGTTTTCGTCACTCGTGGGCTTTCTTAGGTAACAAGAATCAGGGTATCGTAGCAGGACAGAGAACAAACTCAGGGACGGCGTTAACTGGATCCAACATGTTCTCTACACATATATGCTGGACCCAACATGTTCTCTACACATATATGCTGGACCCAACATGTTCTCTACACATATATGCTGGACCCAACATGTTCTCTACACATATATGCTGGACCCAACATGTTCTCTACACATATATGCTGGACCCAACATGTTCTCTACACATATATGCTGGACCCAACATGTTCTCTACACATATATGCTGGACCCAACATGTTCTCTACACATATATGCTGGACCCAACATGTTCTCTACACATAAGCTGGACCCAACATTTCTCTACACAAGTATGTGTTACTTACCAGATCTACTTCCAGGATTCTCGTGGTCATAATTTGGTTTCAATAGTAATATATGTATTGTTTGTATGGGAGAAACCAGAGGATGCTAGTGAGCTTCGTTGTATGTATGGCAGCGTATTTCTTACAAGGAATATGGCACTAATTTCCAGACCATTGTAATGTATATATTAGCGCATCTCCACGCTCACATTCCTCACTGGGAAGCTCACCTTGTTAAATTAGAGAAGACTTTCTCTCGTTACGTCTCTCAACCTCAGTGCTGAATGCCACTGCACCTCCTTATGTTGAGTTTTGTTAAGGGTGTGAGGGCCGGAAGATGCTGCGGCGGAGTGTGAGGCCCGGAAGATGCTGCGGCGGAGTGTGAGGGCCCGACAGGCACAGCAGCGGGGTGTGAGGGCCCGACAGACACAGCAGCGGGGTGTGAGGGCCCCGACAGACAAAGCAGCGGGGTGTGAGGCCCCGACAGACACAGCAGCGGGGTGTGAGGGGCCCCGACAGACACAGCAGCGGGGAGTGAGGGCCCCGACAGACACAGCAGCGGAGTGTGAGGGCCCGACAGGCACAGCAGCGGGGTGTGAGGGCCCCGACAGACACAGCAGCGGGGTGTGAGGGCCCCGACAGACACAGCAGCGGGGTGTGAGGCCCCGACAGACACAGCAGCGGGGTGTGAGGGGCCCCGACAGACACAGCAGCGGGGTGTGAGGCCCCGACAGACACAGCAGCGGGGTATGAGGGCCCCGACAGACACAGCAGCGGGGTATGAGGGCCCCGACAGACACAGCAGCGGGGTGTGAGGTCCGGACAGACACAGCAGCGGGGTGTGAAGGCCCGACAGACACAGCAGCGGGGTGTGAAGGCCCGACAGACACAGCAGCGGGGTGTGAGGGCCCGACAGACACAGCAGCGGGGTGTGAAGGCCCAACAGACACAGCAGCGGGGTGTGAGGCCCCGACAGACACAGCAGCGGGGTGTGAGGGCCCCGACAGACACAGCAGCGGGGTGTGAGGGCCCGACAGACACAGCAGCGGGGTGTGAGGGCCCGACAGACACAGCAGCGGGGTGTGAGGTCCGGACAGACACAGCAGCGGGGTATGAGGGCCCCGACAGACACAGCAGCGGGGTATGAGAGCCCCGACAGACACAGCAGCGGGGTATGAGGGCCCCGACAGACACAGCAGCGGGGTGTGAGGGCCCGACAGACACAGCAGCGGGGTGTGAAGGCCCGACAGACACAGCAGCGGGGTGTGAGGGGCCCCGACAGACACAGCAGCGGGGTGTGAGGCCCCGACAGACACAGCAGCGGGGTATGAGGGCCCCGACAGGCACAGCAGCGGGGTATGAGGGCCCCGACAGACACAGCAGCGGGGTGTGAGGTCCGGACAGACACAGCAGCGGGGTATGAGGGCCCCGACAGACACAGCAGCGGGGTATGAGAGCCCCGACAGACACAGCAGCGGGGTGTGAGGGCCCGACAGACACAGCAGCGGGGTGTGAGGGCCCGACAGACACAGCAGCGGGGTGTGAGGGCCCGACAGACACAGCAGCGGGGTGTGAGGGCCCGACAGACACAGCAGCGGGGTGTGAGGGCCCGACAGACACAGCAGCGGGGTGTGAGGGCCCCGACAGTGAGGTTCTACGCGTGACAAACCACAGTCAATAAACACGAAAGATGTTGGAATGCGGTTATTTCACTAAACTGTAAATTATATATCATTATTATTTTATATAGCAATGTTTTAGCCAGAAATATGAATAATGATAAGCGGAAAAATTGTGTGTTTTCTCGAAATGTTGTAAGAATATAATGTGGACACGTGCTGCGACACATGTCAGGGACACAAGTGTCGGGTGACAGGTGTGTCCACACTGGAGAGGTGTCTCCAGGCCGTAGTCACGTGACATGGTCATCACTGAGACAGGTGTGGGGGGAGGGGGGTTATAGTTATGACCCCTCAAGGACCCTCATCATCCCTCATATAACCCACACTGCCCCCTGACGGCCGCCGTGTGAACTGTTAGTGTGGGTCTCCCGCTCTCAGTGGCTATCGTGTCCTCCCTCATCATATTGTCTCACCTCCCTCACTACAGATACTTCATCATACTCACCTTAAACCTTCCCACTAAAGACAGTTCATCATACTCACCTTAAACCTCCCCACTAACGATAGTTCATCATACTCACCTTTGACCTTCCCACTACAGATACTTCATCATACTCACCTTAAACCTTCCCACTAAAGACAGTTCATCATACTCACCTTTGACCTTCCCACTAAAGACACTTCATCATACTCACCTTAAACCTTCCCACTACAGATACTTCATCATACTCACCTTAAACCTTCCCACTAAAGACAGTTCATCATACTCACCTTTGACCTTCCCACTAAAGACACTTCATCATACTCACCTTAAACCTTCCCACTAAAGATACTTCATCATACTCACCTTTGACCTTCCCACTAAAGACAGTTCATCATACTCACCTTTGACCTTCCCACTAAAGACACTTCATCATACTCACCTTAAACCTTCCCACTAAAGATACTTCATCATACTCACCTTTGACCTTCCCACTAAAGACACTTCATCATACTCACCTTAAACCTTCCCACTAAAGACAGTTCATCATACTCACCTTTGACCTTCCCACTAAAGATAGTTCATCATACTCACCTTAAACCTTCCCACTAAAGACACTTCATCATACTCACCTTTGACCTTCCCACTAAAGATAGTTCATCATACTCACCTTTGAAGTACCTCATATTTTGTAAGTGTATTATATAACTCATTGTACCCCAAACATAAGGTTAGGTGAACAACCGTTCATTATTTTTATTTTTTCAGCGTGTAAAAACTTACAAGTGTTGTAAGTGCTCCTGGCTCTCTTACAAGTGTTGTAAGTGCTCCGGGCTCTCTTACAAGTGTTGTAAGTGCTCCTGGCTCTCTTACAAGTGTTGTAAGTGCTCCGGGCTCTCTTACAAGTGTTGTAAGTGCTCCGGGCTCTCTTACAAGTGTTGTAAGTGCTCCTGGCTCTCTTACAAGTGTTGTAAGTGCTCCGGGCTCTCTATATAGGGACACACACATGAATCACAGGAGCGCCCCACTCCAGGTGTGCCGTGTGCTTGGTCCTTCAACACACAGTAACTGAAGTGTACCAGGAGCGGGCACTGTGAGGTTACGACGACCAAGGACTATCTCACCACTCATATGGTTCCGTTATCTTGGTCGACGGGATGCCAAAGAGCCACCAGTTGTGTGGTCAAGGTAACTGTTGCTAGTCTACCTCAGAGTCTGGGCTTCATGCTGGTCAATAAGGCTACCAAAGAATATATTTATTTACTAAGTTACATACTAGTCAGGAGGAGTATAATAGCCGTCATCATGTGGACGCCATGTTGCGGCTTCAAACCTCACACACACACATATATATGTATATATGTATCACATATGTTGGTGTGTACTTGTGTTTATGTTGTGACTAAGTGTTGTGTCGCCTCTCACTGTCCACTGCGGCCCCACACTCTCCCAAAACCTCATTGCCTTAGTTTAAATTGCCAGAAATGGATTTTAATTTTCCGGAGATCAATGAGTAATGGTGTATACTTGTATAAGAAAACCCGGGTTGATGTTAGTCAAAATGTGTTCATTGGTGCACTAAGGCAATGTGAACAATGGTGGTGGGTGTGTGACTGTGACCGTGGCACACTGAGCCATAGTGATGCCCTCCACCTGCCTATGTTCACCCCCCACCCCAGACCATGCACTATGTCAGTTTGTCAACTTTGGACACACACGCAGACCTTCTTTCTTATAGTATATATATATGTCTTGCAATCCATCCTTGTGTTTAGATAGTGCCTACTGTGACGATCGTCAATAGTCACAATTCGTACGTACTTAGCTATTAGATAGTAGTATACTGACTAGTAAAGAATAGTTTTATAAAAGTGGAGCTAAAAAAACACTTAAATATTGCTAGGCTTAGTATAGCACATATATGTACTATATTAGGCCTCATATATCGTGTATTAGGCCTAGGAAGGGTAGGTTTGGTTACTGTTTTGTCTTCGTAACTCAAGTTAAATATAGTTGTCCGGTTTGTCCAACTCAATAGTACAGATTTCTACTTTCTAATTTTGTTGTAGGTGGGAATATGTACTATAGTCCTCAGTGTTACTATAAGTACTACCAAAACAGGAGGATGGTCTGGTATATATCATTAAGAATTCTTTCGACCCGACCGACCAGGATTCGAACCCCCGTCACCGGGGATCACCTCCTGGTGTACAGGATACCGTAACCACTACAATATTGACCGTTTAAGAGCCAGACGATCAGTGGTGTAGTGGGCTGGTTATCCTGTACGTCAGCCGGTGATCCCGGCGGCCGGGGGCGGGGGGGGGGGGGAGGGGGTCAAATGTAAATTGTTCTTAGTGACTTATGGTGTTTATGGGGCCTTTGTGTCACACACACACACACACACACACACACACACACACACACACACACACGCACACACACACACACACACACACACGCACACACACACACACTCACACACACACACACACACACACACACACACACACACACACGCACACACACACACACACACTAATACACAAATATGCACGCAAGAACAATCACAAAAAACACGTGATCCGGTTCTGCGTAATCATCCACTAGGAAAATTAAGTGAAAATGTGGAAGGTGTTGGTGTTTGAGACCATTATCCAGGCCACACAGAGAGGTCATAAGGGGTTGTGTACCTAACCCAGCCTGATAAGACAAAGATCCATCAGCTAAAATATCAATTAATGGAGACAATAAGTCACAATAACGGGGCCGAGGATACGATGACCAATGCACACATCAGAAGATGGAGACACGGCGACGTTTCGGTCCCTCGTAGATAATTATCAAGTCGTATCGAATTGATTTCATAATGGTCCAGAACGGACCGAAACGTGGTAATGTGTCCAGATGTGTTGGTTGGTCATGAGTGGCGAGTGGGAGTAACTGGGTGTTCTCTCATGTTCTCTCTGGGTGTTCTCTCATGTTCTCTCTGGGTGTTCTCTCATGTTCTCTCATGTTCTCTCTGGGTGTTCACTCATGTTCTCTCTGGGTGTTCTCTCATGTTCTCTCTGGGTGTTCTCTCATGTTCTCTCTGGGTGTTCTCTCATGTTCTCTCTGGGTGTTCTCTCATGTTCTCTCTGGGTGTTCACTCTGTAACTCACTCTTGGGGTGTACTACACACACACGTATTGTGGATATAATTTGTATACCTATCACAAATGTTACCACCACCAGGGGCCTCGTAGCCTGGTGGATAGCGCGGACTCGTAATTCTGTGGCGCGGGTTCGATTCCCGCACGAGGCAGAAACAAATGGGCAAAGTTTCTTTCACCCTGAACGCCCCTGTTACCTAGCAGTAAATAGGTACCTGGGAGTTAGTCAGCTGTCACGGGCTGCTTCCTGGGGGGGTGGAGGCCTGGTCGAGGACCGGGCCGCGGGGACACTAAAAAGCCCCGAAATCATCTCAAGATAACCTCAAGTTACCAATTATAAAGCTATCTAATTTATACATACTCCAGGACTTACATTAATATTATCTAATTCTATACCTAGTATACATGAAAATTCAATCATAAGTCTTTCAGTAACTGATATACACTCCACAATCTTGCATGAAGTAGTCGAGTCAATTGAATGATTACAATAACTTTAGTGAAGAAACAATGCATTGGAGTCCTGATCTGTTCTTATACTATATTTATCATCTTCTATTATTTTGTCAAGACGTTCACCTATTTGGCCAACATTGTATGTGGGCCATCACCAACATGTTCACAATGTTCTCTTCATTTTCCTGGAGGATACTACACATATATAAAGGCAGGTGTTTAGTGATATTACATGTACAGGAGGCTACCACTTACCTCCAATATATATATATATATATATATATATATATATATATATATATATATATATATATAAATACATATATAAATAATATATATTATATTACGTACCTAATTATATATTTAGGTACGTAAATACCTAAATTAAGATAAATATATATTAAAATATATAGTATATATATATATATATATATATATATATATATATATATATATATATATATATATATATTTTAATTTAGGCATTTACGTACAAAAAATAAGGCATACACTCCTTTGATGACCAAATATCTAGACATTTAATGTTTCTATATAACAGAAATCCACAAAGTATTTTTATACAAATATGTGTATATGTAACAGAATATATTATGATGTTTCTAAGGTGTTTTATTTATTCTTTATGTCAGACTAATCAGACTTGGCAGACCAAACCCAAATGAACAGGACAAGGCTCTGACACAAGACTGTCAACTGCCACAATAGACATCAACAAAGTCTTCCTCCAGCCAGCTACAGATAACAAAACTATTGTCAACAATGACAATTCCACCTGAGTTATGAAACATAGGAACTGAAAATGGGTAGAAAATACTAGATATAAATAATACAAGATCTTGTCATCACAGGCATCAAGGAATACATTTAGTTGACAACGACAGCGCTTAGAGAACATTAAGAATCAAACCTAACATCAGATAAGAACACGTGGAGATGGAGCGTCGGCACTTTCCATACAAGAAATTCCACCCCCAGTTATCATTCTTTTCAAAACGTTTGTGCATTACCTTGATTAATGCCTGCTCTCTGCTAGGATATGATGAAAGACTTAGAGCTGGGATATGATGAGAGACTTAGAGCTGGGATATCATGAGAGACTCTGGGCTGGGATATGAGGACAGACGCAGGGCTGGGATATGAGGACAGACAAAGAGCTGGGATATGAGGACAGACTAAGAGCTGGGATATGAGGATAGATAAGAGCTGGGATATGAGGATAGATAAGAGCCGAGATATGAGGACAGACTACCCAGCAAACATTTTTCACGTTTTTAAAACGTTCTAAAAACGACATTTGATTGTTATCAGCAAGTTTGTAATTACGTGTAAAAAAACGTATTTTGAGAATTTGTAAAAACGACCTTAGAAAGTGAAATGGAAACGTTTTAAACAGCTTTTTATAATCTTTTAATTATCTACATTAAAACATTGAGCTAATGTTTTAAATCCCATATTGTTGCCAATTTATTGGCATACAAATTAGGTCAATTACAAATAAATAGGGTACAAAAAGAGAATTAAAATATTATATTTAATTAAGATTCAGTAATACAAAATATATGTAATATTTGTAAATGACTTATATAATATACAGTATATATAATATATTTGTGTGTGTGTGTGTGTAACAAAGCTTGAGACCAATCGAATCAATATTCTTAAACTCTTTGTTTAAGAATTCTTGACTCACAACTCGAAGAGCTCTTAGATACACTGAAGAAAAAATTGACTTTTTCACATTGTATCTATGTCCTGAAACATAATGAACATAAGATAAATTATTCGTAGGTTTTCTGTAGACACTAAACTTTTGTGAAAAATCTTCCCTATGAATAAGTACATCTGATGTACTATGAACATCAGTACATCAGTACATGAACATATGAACATCAGTACATCAGATGTACTTCCCTATGAATAAGTACATCTAATGTACTTATGCATAGGGAAGAGGATAAGGGACTCGCCAGCCACCCCAGCCTCGCCAGCCTCGCCAGCCACGCCAGCCACGGCCGCCTCGCCAGCCACGCCAGCCTCGCCAGCCACGGCCGCCTCGCCAGCCACGCCAGCCTCGCCAGCCACGCCAGCCTCGCCAGCCACGCCAGCCACGCCAGCCTCGCCAGCCACGCCAGCCACGGCCGCCTCGCCAGCCACGGCCGCCTCGCCAGCCACGCCAGCCTCGCCAGCCACGGCCGCCTCGCCAGCCACGGCCGCCTCGCAAGCCTCGCCAACCACGGCCGCCTCGCCAGCCACGGCCGCCTCGCCAGCCACCCCAGCCACGCCAGCCACCCCAGCCACGCCAGCCACGCCAGCCACCCCAGCCTCGCCAGCCACGCCAGCCTCGCCAGCCACGCCAGCCTCGCCAGCAACCCGAGCCACGCCAGCCTCCCCAGCCACGGCTGCCTCGCCAGCCACGCCAGCAATGAAGGCATTACGGCACAGCTACCGGGCTAATTGGATCTATATCTTATATACCAGATCTTTTGTGAACGTCAGCGGATAAGAAGGCTGCTCTACACAAACATTAATTAATTCTTGGATATTTGGATTATTGATTCTTGAATTTTGAGTTATTGAATTCCGGATTTTGTCTCAATCTCGAAACCCGGGGCTGTGTGTCGTCTGTGTGAGAGAGTGTGGCGTGGCCCCGGCCACCACTGTAGAGTGTGGCGTGGCACCACTGTAGAGTGTGGCGTGGCCCCGGCCACCACTGTAGAGTGTGGCGTGGCACCACTGTAGAGTGTGGCGTGGCCCCGGCCACCACTGTAGAGTGTGGCGTGGCCCCGGCCACCACTGTAGAGTGTGGCGTGGCACCACTGTAGAGTGTGGCGTGGCCCCGGCCACCACTGTAGAGTGTGGCGTGGCACCACTGTAGAGTGTGGCGTGGCCCCGGCCACCACTGTAGAGTGTGGCGTGGCCCCGGCCACCACTGTAGAGTGTGGCGTGGCCCCGGCCACCACTGTAGAGTGTGGCGTGGCCCCGGCCACCACTGTAGAGTGTGGCGTGGCCCCGGCCACCACTGTAGAGTGTGGCGTGGGCCCGGCCACCACTGTAGAGTGTGGCGTGGCCCCGGCCACCACTGTAGAGTGTGGCGTGGCCCCGGCCACCACTGTAGAGTGTGGCGTGGCCCCGGCCACCACTGTAGAGTGTGGCGTGGCCCCGGCCACCACTGTAGAGTGTGGCGTGGCACCACTGTAGAGTGTGGCGTGGCACCACTGTAGAGTGTGGCGTGGCCCCGGCCACCACTGTAGAGTGTGGCGTGGCCCCGGCCACCACTGTAGAGTGTGGCGTGGCCCGGCCACCACTGTAGAGTGTGGCGTGGCCCCGGCCACCACTGTAGAGCGTGGCGTGGCCCCGGCCACCACTGTAGAGCGTGGCGTGGCCCCGGCCACCACTGTAGAGCGTGGCGTGGCCCCGGCCACCACTGTAGAGCGTGGCGTGGCCCCGGCCACCACTGTAGAGCGTGGCGTGGCCCCGGCCACCACTGTAGAGCGTGGCGTGGCCCCGGCCACCACTGTAGAGCGTGGCGTGGCCCCGGCCACCACTGTAGAGCGTGGCGTGGCACCACTGTAGAGTGTGGCGTGGCACCACTGTAGAGTGTGGCGTGGCACCACTGTAGAGTGTGGCGTGGCACCACTGTAGAGTGTGGCGTGGCACCACTGTAGAGTGTGGTGTGGCACCACTGTAGAGTGTGGTGGTATACAGTAACGAGCCTCAGGTCACGTGGGACCATTAAGCAAGTGTCAGTAATTAGTCAGTCTCTCCCAGCCATCCTGTGTGGTTGTTCGCTCTTGTTATTGTGTTCTAACTGGCACTACAGTCTACCTCTACCCGCTCCTTGTCAGTCTACCTCTACCCTCTCCTTGCCAGTCTACCCGCTCCTTGTCAGTCTACCTCTACCCGCTCCTTATCAGTATACCCATTAAGATTTTAATTTGGATTCAACAGAGCAGAAGAAGTTGTTAAACACATGGGGCAAAATCTTACTGAAGCGACCATACGAGTCATAAATACTCATACTCCGCCCAAGTAAAACAGAAACAAGCAACACTTAGTGGGCCAGCCAGAGGCTTAGGGCCCGCGCAGGAATATCCCTGGAAAAAAAAATTATATATATATATATATATATATATATATATATGTCGTACCTAGTAGCCAGAACGCATTTGTCAGCCTACTATGCAAGGCCCGATTTGCCTAATAAGCCAAGTTTTTATGAATTAATTTATTTACTATAATTTTTTTCTTATGAAATGATAAAGCTACCCTTTTCACTATGTATGAGGTCAATTTTTTTTTATTGGAGTTAAAATTAACGTAGATATATGACCGAACCTAACCAACCCTACCTAACCTAACCTAACCTATATATATTGGTAAGGTTAGGTTAGGTAGCCAAAAAAAGCTAGGTTAGGTTAGGTTAGGTAGGTTAGGTAGACGAAAAAACATTAATTCATTAAAATTTGGCTTATTAGGCAAATCGGGCCTTGCATAGTAGGCTGAGAAGTGCGTTCTGGCTACTAGGTACGACATATATATATATATATATATAACAGATAGGCTATTACTACACTTACGCACAATCCTTTCGCTCAGGATACCAAACGTGTTCACGTGCAGAGTTCATCAATCCCCAGTAGTTCTTCACTGTCCAGTAGCGTATCCAACCTTACTGGGAAGAACACCGGGTAGTTCACCTGTACGTGGGCCAGCCCACTGACAGTGTCATGAGGTGCCTGTACCCCCACGACCACTCTCCAGTTACTCTCTGGCAGTGTACCTCAGCCACACGCTGAGTGGGGTCACAATACAAGGGGTAGCGATCCCCTGGCAGCAGTCTCTAGCGACCAGCCAGTAGCACTACTCAACAGGCACCTCCCTGTCGTCAGTCTCTCCCTTAAGCCAGTCCCAATGGTACGCCGATCCTTTCAACACTAAACCTTCCGCAGCTACCACACTGCTTCATCGGCGGCGGCTTACTTGGTCGTTTCCAGGACCCTGTAGAGAGACTCTGGACTGCCCAAGATGAACTGCCGTCTCCAGTACCGCGGCCCCCAGACGTCACCTCTGTGGACACAAAAACGTCATCAATGACCTGGCCGGTATTGGCGAAACTAGGAACTACCACTAACTCACTGGGGAGTTGACATTGTGCTCTGTAGCACACACTAGGTGGCGCTGGTCTTGATGCATCACCTCACCAGAGGTCACTCACAACGACCCCCTCTGGCTGACCAAGACAGGAATCTTTAGCCATTTGATAACCATCCACCAGATGGCGTTGTCCACATTGCGTACTATTCCCGGGGAGTTCGGGTGCGGACTCGTAGATGGCGCTGGTACTGTCACTCTACCTCCTGACAAGGGTGACGAGTCCGTAACAAGGTCACTCTACCTTCCAACAGGTCACACTACCTCCCTCCTGGTTACACACTACCTCCCTCTTGATCACAGTAGATCCTTTTTTATCACAATATATCTTTTCTGATCACAGTAGCGCCCACCTGATGACAGTAGCCTCCTCTTGTTCACAGTAGGTGGCTCTTGATCACAGTAGGTGACTCTTGATGACAGTAGGTGGCTCTTAATGACAGTAGGTGACTCTTGATGACAGAAGGTGGCTCTTGATGACAGGAGAACACATTGGCAACATTAAGGAAGGCTTCACCAACATGGCCAGACGGGATGTTTGTCAGTATTACTTAGTGATACACCACATTATAAATGTTGGACCTTACTCTGAGAGAGAACTCTATCAACATCAGAGGCCCGAGACTGTTCAACACGCTTCCACTACACATAAGGGGCATAACTGGCAAACCCCTCACAGTGTTCAAGAGAGAACTGGATAAGCACCTCCAAAGGATACCTGATCAACCAGGCTGTGACTCATACGTCAGGCTGCGAGCAGCCGCGTCTAACAGCCTGGTTGATCAGTCCAGCAACCAGGAGGCCTGGTCGACGACCGGGCCGCGGGGACACTAAGCCCCGGAAGCACCTCAAGGTAGCCTCAAGGTAGGTAGTGAGGTAAATGATCCTGGGAGAGTCACTCCTCCTCCTCCTCCTTCACTATGTAAAAGACACATCAAACACTTTATGTAGGGCATACGTAAATCTATGTATTTGCGTATGTAGGTTAGCTTAGCATTTTAAAAGCAGCGAATCACCTTCTGTGGTTGATTGTTCAATAAACCCTTGAACTATATGTTTAACACTTCTCTAACCCTGTCCATGGAGGACAGAAGAACATGTATATATGCTGGTTAGCATTGTAAATGTCTGGCCACGTCTGTGGTAAAAAATAATAATAATAATAATAAAAACTCCTCCTGCACACCTTCCCCCCCCCTCACTCTGGCCCAGTTCCCCTCCCCACCTCCCCACCTGCCCATCACCAGGTCGTGTTGTTAGGCAACTTGAACTTTCCGAACTTACTCAGAAGTTGAGCTATATTCTTTGTGTGTAGTTCAGTTCCCCGCCTCACTCCTCTTGGGTCTGGGGCCGATGTCTCCTCTCCCCCCTCCCCCTCCCTCCCTCCCCACCACCACTACCACCACCTTGCCCTTGGGGCTGGTGCCCCCCCCCCCCTCGGGCTCCTCGCGAGGACCACAAGTTTATTATGTTGTAAAGAGATAATATTGTTGTTTCTTCCAGCTGTAAGGTTGTCCTCCCTACAATATAGTGGTAAACAACACCATATATTGTTGCTCTCACTATTTACACGGCCTCCACTGTCTCGCCCGGGCAAGTTTGTGCTCTGATTTCCTGTGTATTTACTCTATGACATGCTGTGTGCCCTTCTGGCTGTTTGTTTGCCCTGTTCTATTATGTGCTTCTGCCTCTCCCTTTGTGCGTAGCTTTGCCGTGTGGCATATTAGTTTCTAGTGCTTGGCGTCACTCGTTTCGCGTTTTGGCTTGGCATTTCGCCTTTCCTGGCTTTGCGATTTACCCTTCGCGGGTACGCAGGGGCGCATCCGATCCCACGATCGTCGTCGCCCCTAACTCAACAACAACAACAACACTGTCTCGCCATATTCACGGCCCATTATTGTCTGGTATAGAGCCTCCATCCCTCTAACTTGTGCTCTTGTATCTTGTTTACTTGCAAGAGGATGCCTGCCAGTGTTCTCAATGTTCAGGGTTGACGAAAAGAACCAAAACTAACTATGTTATGTATTATATTTATTATAATTTACACGTTTCCAATCCACAAGGTTCATTCTCAAGTGAACAATTGCAAGACGTCTGGAAACATCTGGCTTAAGCTCGTCCTCGAAACATAGACCCAAAGACTTCCATTCCATCCACCCGCCAAACCCCAGCTGTTTATGAATGAAAAACTGTAACACACGACTCACAACTGATGACGTTCGAACACTTCCGGAACAAGTGCTTCACTGACGACTTTTGTTCGACCCACAACGCTGTATATGCTCAACCCGTCCTCCAAACAAAGATCCAAAAGTGATTCCATGCACCTGCCAAACCCCCTGTTTATAAATGAAAAGCGGTTTACACACGACTCACAACTGCTGACGTTCAAACATATCCGGAACAAGTGCTTCACTGACGAATTTTGTTCGAACCACAACGCTGTAAATGCTTCACCTACGTAATACAAATACAAATAATACCCAACAGAACCTAAACACACAACCTAACCTAACCTAACCTATGCCTATATATATATACACAATATACTGTAAATTTAATTTATATTTGAGAAAATTCCCGTTTAGAATAAACAGCATGTTAAAATTGATGAATGCGTCTGTGGGGTCGACCGCTGGTTGGAATATACTTGAGTCGAGGACGGGTTGTTGGTGTGTAGACCTGGGACGTCTGTTGCTTACCAACTTACATCAGGTGAATGGCCACAGATATACGAGTAGCGGGAGAGTGAGGTGACAGGCCGGGACACTATCACCACAAAGTTAGGTGAGGTGATAGTTTATGTGAACTATGCTCTCTAGTTTGGGCCGTGACGCCATTGTTGGCTCTCACTCTCGTTGTGGTGGTGGAGAGTGCTCTCACTCTCGTGGTGGTGGAGAGTGCTCTCACTCTCGTGGTGGACAGAGCTCTCACTCTCGTGGTGGTGGAGAGTGCTCTCACTCTCGTGGTGGAGAGAGCTCTCACTCTCGTGGTGGTGGAGAGTGTTGCTCTCACTCTCGTGGTGGTGGAGAGTGTTGCTCTCACTCTCGTGGTGGTGGAGAGTGCTCTCACTCTCGTGGTGGGGAGAGGGAATAGTTCTGTACTTGAGTGTTTATGGTAGATTGTTCCACAGTCATGTGTAGGGCTTCAAGAATTCACAATCTCCTAACATCTTTGACTTTGTCTAATATACAAGAGTTTGTACTCAGCATTTCTCTTGTTATGGTGATATCTTGGGCATAACGCATGCCATTGTTAGTGGCCCCTGAGTGAAGATGACAGGTCAAGCGCCTCGTCAGCTTGGTCGAGGTCATACCTATGTACTTAGAGTGAAGGTTACATCCTTCATGGGGGCAGGTGTACATGTATACGATGCTTGACTGCTGCCAAGGGCTCTCGCTTGGCTTCAGACTATTTATAATGAGAATGTTGGTGGTTTTCTTTGTTTTATATTATACGATGATATCTATATGATGATGATGTGTATATAATGATTATGGGTGTTCATCTTTAATCTGAGAAACAACTAGTTGAAAATATTAACTCAGCCATTATGATACTCGGTAAAGAGCCAACAGATTATATATATGACTTTTTTACTTTTTTGTTTATATATATATATATATATATATATATATATATATATATATATATATATATATATATATATATATATACAAGAGTTCTTACATTCTAGAACAGCCCCTAGCACGCATAACGTTCCGGGCGAGTCTTTAATCCTAATTTTCAGACACACATCCCCCTCAGGACTACGAATCCCGAGCGCTGTCCACTCAACCGCCAGACCTAGTGACACTTCTGATCATTCATAGCTTTCAACCAAATATTTATATTTTCATTGTGAAGAATTTCATGAGAATGTTAAAAAAAATGCCTTGTTTTGATGTGTGTCAAGAAGCTCTCTACCTGCCTCGACTCCTCCTCCTTAGACTTTCTGGAATTGGAAACTTATGTTGCCCCATGTTACTGAGTCTTACTTTAGCGGAGGACCTTTCATCTCTGGCAGTGTGGAGAGTCTTGAAGTGTAGCGTGTCCAGGAGTCAGTGAGGCCCCGGGCGCCACTCTCGCCTCTAACCTTCTCCTCTGACAATCTTCTGGCACAATACGACCCCACTTCACACAACCCAGTACCAAATGTCTTTGAACGTCACGACCTTTGAACCTTTCAGTGCCAGTGGAGTGTTAGTGTGAGGTGGAGTGGGAGCCCCTGACCCGAGGGTCACAACCTGGCAACTCAACCTTCACTGCAGGTCCCACTCCAAGTGTCTCTCCTCCAACACGTCTTCGCACACGTTCATATAATTCCAAGTTAGATTCAGTTTATGGTCATTCACCGTTACGTGGGAGAAACTCATCCAGATTTTAATAAGGTAATTTTGCCAAGTTTTCTTCCTCGTCAGAACTAATCCGGACAAGATCTTCCTTGTCTCATTCCTGCTACAGATCAAGACTTAATATTGACCGTTGATCACGTGGGTTTGGGAAGAATGGGAAGAACTGAAGATATCAGGTACAAGAAGAGCATTTAGGGATCCTAAATGTCGATTTAGATTGGGTATTAAAGTAGACGAAAGACTGGCAGATGCAGGTTAATGGTTGTCACCAGGCCTGGGTAAGGTTTACACCGCTATCATATATAAACTGGCCAATGTTCACACTTGTAAATCGGAATGTGTAAAATGTCTATAAGTCATGGTCAATATATATGTAAATAGGATGCCTATATTCATGCACAGAAGTGTATGGTTAAGGTTATTGTGCAGCTAAGGTTATTGTGCAGCTAAGGTTATTGTGCAGCTAAGGTTATTGTGCAGCTAAGGTTATTGTGCAGCTAAGGTTATTGTGCAGCTAAGGTTATTGTGCAGGCATTCATCAGTATCCTCAGACTGATGAAT